CTTAGTTTTTTCACTCAAGGCTGGCACTCCAGCATTTGAACCACAGATCCACTTCCAGCTTTCAGTGGTTAATTAGAGATGAGTCTCACAGTTTATCCTGCTTGTCTAGCTGTGAACTAGGATTTTCTGATTTCAGTACTTAGGATTACAGGAAGTGGCATTGTGGCTCAAGCTGTAGAGCACTCACCTTGAGCTGAAGAATGCAGGGACAGCGCTCAGGACCAGAGTTCAAGCTCCATGACCAATAGGGGGGGAAAAAAAAGTACTTAGGTTTACAGACCCAAGCCATTGGTGCCTGGCTCCCATTGTCTGAAAGCACTAATGGTTATCAGAAATATATATATGTCTACGTGTTTATTGGCTGAGACCTCTTGTTTCTTCAGGAATATGAGCTTTATGTAGGCAGGGACTTGAGCTGTCTTGTTCCTAACCCTTAGCAGTGTTGAGTGAGTGAGTGAATGAATGTTTGGAGTAGAAAAGTGGAGAGTAGAAAAGGGAGGCTGTGCCTGATGACAATCAGGCATTAGTACAAGTGTGCCTAGAAGACTGAAGTGCAGAGAAGGCGTCCCCTGAAGACAGCAGCTTCACTCACAGAGACAGGAGACTGTTCATTTAGCATAAGTAGAGCATACAGCTGTCTGGAGGAAGTGACAGGAGAAGAGGCTAGAGAGAAGGAATGGATCAGATCATTCCTGCTGTGGGAAACTTGCAGGATTTTAAAGAGGGAGGAGGTCATGTATGGATGGATTGTGACAATTCATGCAGTGATGGGTTGAGAATAGATTAATTGTATCTGTCCATTAAAAAGAAAAAAAGCAGGAAAAGCTGGGTGTTGGTGGTGCTCACGCCCATAATCCTAGCTACTCAGGAGGCTGAGATCTGAGCATCATTGTTTGAAGCCAACCCAGGCAGGACAGTCTATGAGATTCTTAGCTTCAATTACACTCCAAAAAGCTGAAACTGGAGGTGTGGCTCAAGTGGTAAAGTGCTAGCCTTGAACAGAAAAAGCTAAGCAAGACCTTGAGGCCCTGAATTCAAGCCCCAGGATTGGCACAAAAAAAGAAAAAGAAAAGAAAGAAAACCTTATATTTCATGGTCTTAGCAACCACTGCTGCTGCTTACTTAAAGACATTTTTCATTAAGGACTGTAAAGCAGTAACTTAAAAATTCTGTCCTTTCAGCCTATGAAGAACTTTTCCTTAGTACTCTTTTGGCATGAATATGTATTTTTAAAGGAAAAGTAGGGTAAATGCTTCATTCCATCTTTTGCATGTCAATTTTCAGATTAAAATAAATTTTGTCATTAGGTTTTGGAGGGAAGACATTTTTATGCATATTTTATTGAGATTAGGTGATTATATAAATTTTACATATTTCACAGTATTGTGGAATAGTGATACGTAGTTAAAGTCACAAACACATTTTAACCTTCACAAGGCAAATTGTCATTATCATGGTCTATAAAGTTTGTGAATTCTATGAGCTTTGACAATACAACTATTCCTTCCGCATCAGATGATGTTTACATTTCTTTCCTTTTGCTTAGTGTAAAGCTGTTCCCTCTTTCCCTCTCATATCTTCCCTTCCCATCACTGTCTTTGGGTTGCTTAGTTCATGTTCAGCTATGTCCAGTGCAGCTGATGGGCCCCTCTGTTGTATGTTTTCCCATTTCCTTCTGATTCTGTGCCCTCCTCCTAGCTTGAGGGAAGAAGTTTTGAGAAGTTGTAGTTTTATATTTATAATAGTTCAATCCATTGCAGTTGTTATGTTTTGGCCCCTGTCAAGGTGTTCCTTGAATAGTACTTTATTATTTATAAGACACTTGACATACATTAGCCATTGGAACCTCACAGGTAATCCTGTGAAGTATGTTTAGAAATGACATTGAACTACAACTTGATGTCTATTGTTCTTACATTACAGACAAGAATGGCGACTAAATAATTTTCCTATCTGTCTTGTAACTGGATTAGAGATTTAATGCAGATGTCTTTTACCAGTGGGAATATGATATTAAGCAATATCCACTTTGAAAGACATTCCTTGTAGCAAATTCTGTTGAGAATAATGTTATTCTGATAATCCTGTAACTTAGTAACTTTGTTTGTGAAGCATTTCAATTTTGATTACTCTGTTTTCGAGCTACTGCTCAGATGTGTGTGGTTTTTATGGTCTGTCCGTGTCTAGGGAGCTGGTATTACATACTGCCTAGTGTTTTTAATTCAGAACTTCTTTCTAAAGAAACCTCAGCCTGTTATATTCCAACCCTAGCTTTAATAGCATAAGCTATTTCTTTCTTATATAGCTTTGTGGGCATAGTAATAAAATAAATACCACAAAATCACTGATGAGATGAAAATTGAGCTCCCTGCTTCTGTGCAGCCATGTAGGTAAAACGGTAATTGGCTCTGATAATAACTTTTGTTCTTACAAACCGAAATCTAAATGAGAGTCACATTTGATATATCTGCTTGTAATTACTATGAAGAGGAGAGAAAACAAAGTTTAGATTGTTCAGTACTCCAGATAAACGAATAAATGACTGTCTTTTCTTGACCAATGTGAGAAAAAATTCTGGAATTATTTGTGATATTTATCTTACTGCTATTAAAAATATCATCTTCCATTGGATGCTTTTCTACTTAATGGAATAATTACTTACCTCTTTGGTTTTTAAACCTATAATTGTTTTTCTTAAAAAAATATCTTTATCGCCTGGCCTATATGGCTCATGCCTGTAATCCTAGTTACTTAGGAGGCTGAGATCTGAGTATTATGGTTTGAAGCCAGCAGGGCAGAAAAGTCTGTGAGACTCTTATTGCCAATTAACTACTAAAAACCAGAAGTAGAGATATAGCTCAAGTGGTAGAGCACTGGCTTTGAGCAAAAAAACCTAAAGGACAGTACCCAGGTCCTAAGTTCAAGCCCTATTACCAGCACACATATACAAAAATATCTTTATTGCCAGATCTGATAACAGATCTGAAGCAGCCTATTCTTACAGGCATTTTCTTAACATCCCTGCTAATGTCGCTCTAGCTCTTAAGACAAATTTAGGTTCTGAATCTATTTGATGGTGACTGTCATTGAAGACATTTGATGTGTTAATATTGTCTAAATGTAAATGCCTTCAGGTAGCATCAAACCCAGGGCTTCTCACATGAATACCAGTACGCTGCTACTGTCCAATATGTTCTCAAAGAGAAATGAAAATATGTACACTATATATTATTATTTTAATATACACGTTTAATTAGGACGTTAATAATTAGTAAATATTAGGATGTTAATAATTTTAAAGACTTTTCTCATTGTATTAGAAGCCAACCATAAAGAATCAATACCTATTGTTTCTGTTGGATTTCTATTGACATGTTGATCTATTTGTAGGATAAATGTGTCAGTGCCACAGAAAGGTAAAAATGGTAGAAAGCAACCCAGTTCTAACAGTGATCTGCTTTTGATCATTTCCTCCCTGTACCAGATCACTGAGCCAATGATCCCTGAATTACAAAGTTCTAACAAAGCTTACCCATGATAAATGAAGCTATTATCATCAACAGGATCCAGAATACACATTAAAAAAGCCCTAATTAAAGAAAGCACATCCAGTCGATATAATACATATTAGCAATTTCCTGATCCTTGGTAGAATAGAAATTATTCTGCAAGTTTAATTAAGAAGGAAAAAATATGTTCAGGTATTAAATTTCAATAAAAAAGAAGCACTCTCTCTGAAAAAAGGCTGACACAGTGCTGTGAGTGTGGCTTAGCCACAGACGGAAACCATTTTTAAGTAGGAGCTACATTACCTTTGCAGGTTCCTCAAGGAGAGTTACCAGACTTGTCTTGTTTGCAGGCTGTGTCTCTGCATTAGTTGAAGGAAGGCAACAGCCGAGAGCAGTTAGCTGGAGATTTGGTTATTAAAACACTATTTAAAAATAAAAGGAAGAGGGATCTATGTTATGAAAGGCTGTACATCCAGAAGCTGGTGACTCATGTCTTATAATCCTAACTGTTCAGCAAGCTGAGGACATGTGATTCAAAGCCAGTTTGAGCAGGAAAGTCCATGAGCCTCTTATCTACAATTCCAAAAAGTTGGAAGTAGATCTGTGGCTCAAATAGTAAACTGCCAACCTTGAGGAACAATGCCCAGGCCCTCAGTTCGAGCCCCAGTGTGTTGCACCCGTCCTCAAACACACAAAGCAGTCATACCAATATATTTGTTTCTTTGTGCTAAACACCATCACGTAAGTGAATTTTATTAATACAACTAAATTAAAAAGGAGTCCATTTTGCTGCATCTATATTTCTTAGTGTTTGTTTAAATAGGCAATAAAATTATATATCAATATCCTAAAAAGAAAGATGCATTATACTCATAAACTGATATGTTGGATTGAAACTCCTTTGTACTTAAAAATAAATTACAATGAGGAATAAGTTATTTGGAGGTTATTATGGAGGTGTTTTTACTTTTGTTTCTAAGGAAAACAAATTATTTTTTGCAGCTGGCAAAATTCTCTATGAAGGAGTAAATAAATTTGTTATGGTAAATTTATCGGGTCCAAACTAAGATTTACCTGTTAAATTTCCCTGAAGAAAAGTGGCCACATTAACAGACCAAGGGAGCCCTCTACCTGTGTACTTGGAGTATAGATTTCCTACACAAGGTCTTTGACCTGGAAGCTAAAAATGAATGGAGATCAGGTATTCTTTTCCTTTGCCCACCTTGGTTGGCTTGTAGGATTATTTTTTTGAGAAAATAAATGATGCTTGAGCATGTATCTGTGCATGTAATAGTGTGCTTAGGGGAAAATTGACAGAAAGTTCCCTTTCTTAAAGGACCGATTAGTAACCTAAAAGATCCAAATCTGTTTTCTTCAGTGAGAATTAAAAATCATTATTTTCAAAGAACTTTATGTTCTTCTCAGTATACAAAGGATTAGGAAGCACTTCTGTTCCTCTGGCATGAAAGTTTCATCGCTTCTTTGTTTCAGAGAAAGCTAGGCTTGAATGTGAAAATCATGCAGAATCCTGAAAACATCCACCACAGAGCTGCTGTGAATGCAAACTATGGAATCAGTTTGCCACGTATTAACAAGAGAAAAGCATATGTAAGTAATGAGTTGTTTAAATGAGGTCTTAATTTTTTTCCAGAATTAAAAGTCGTTTCCTTGGTAGTAGAAGAGGGAATGTGGATTATAAGACTGTGATCCTTTTGTCCTTGGAATTTTATTTTTTTGTAAAATGAAAGGGAGTAGCTTTCATTCTGTCTAGAATTAGTAATGGTGAAGAAAATATAAATAAATCTGTTTTCAAAACTCTATTTTCATCTCATTCAGATTTCTCTATTTTTGGTTGATAAGCCTAAATAATCTAGAGCTATGATTTTTACAGGGAGTAAAATAATTTTACAGCCAAAAACTGAATGAGTAAGGCATTTTAAGTATTGTAGATCTTGAGATCTAGAATGTATAAATAATAAATAATATGATATAGAATACATAAATAATCTAGAGCTACATTTTTATGAAGGAAATGACTTTACAACAAGAAAAAAAGAGAATGAGTACAGACATTTTAAATATTCTGTATCTTAGTTATAGAAGGCTAGAAAAACCCAAAGAAACAGCAGCATGGTATATCCACCACTTCAAATGATGGCTACTAAATAATAAGCAACCATTTAAGAATATTATTCTCAATTGGATGCAAGCAGAGTCCAGCTTTTTATGTCAGCAAAATAATGAGAGGGAAAATAATCCAATGTAGATTTGCATGACTAGGATCTCAGAATCTTTAAGTGCTTTTGACACTGACTTGCTGTTGTTAGTGTCCCAAAGCAAAGACTCTTTGTGTGTTGTTTGAAGTATAGTGCTTCATTTAAAATGGGAAATAGTTTGAGATCATTTCAGCATTAAAAATGATAATTAAGGTGCAACTTATACATTTAAAAATACGTTTTTCATTTTTGACATCTCTCAAAAGCTCTTAAGCGTCTATTCTGACGAAATTAAAAATAACAGTGAGATGAGCTTTAGGATTAAATTGCAATGTCATTTCTAACTCCCCTAATAGTCTCAGATTAATCTTCCCAATTTCCTTCGTGGACATTTTCACCTTCTTTATTCCATTCTTGTAGCCTAGAAATATATTTTCAGTCTCTTTATGTGTGCTTTATGTTATTCTAGCAGGTTTAGCCTAACAGCATTTTATCATAGAAATACTTTCATAGCCTAAGAAATAGCCAGAAAGTTAGATCTTTTTATTCCTGCTGAAACTTTATTTAAAATGTCAGTGTGAATAATGTGAATGAGTTTTTATCTGCTTCCCATGAGTCCCAACGCCTTTGAAATAAAAATATTTCTCTGGCTGTATAGACAGAAGTAGACTTCTCTTTTGTTGTGGTTGGTTTTCTCCTTGATTTAGAATTAATATTGACTTAGCTGATACAGTGCCAGAGCTTTGCAACCCCAGGCAACTACTTTATTTCCTGAAAACTTTTCTTGATGAGTACTGAAGTTTTTAAGGACCTCCCTCAAGATGTAGTGAAAGTCATGTTTTGCTTATGACCAAGGTATAATTCAGAGTTAAATAAGGAGCTCAAAATTCAGGGAAGAATCTTAGATTTTATATGTGTGTGTGTATATATATATATCGAGAGAGAGAGAGAGAGAGAGAGAGAATGAGAGAATGAGAGAGAATGAGTACTTTGGATATTGTACCCTGGTATTTTGAATAAAGAGGATTTGAGTAGGCACTTTGCCTTGTATGACATATCCATTTATTATAATATTCTTTTGAAAAAAATCGACTTACTAAAAATCAACATCTGCATGCTTTATATTTGTTTATTCATTCATTTGTTTATATTCTTATTAAGGTTAATAGAGTAAGTTTAGTTAAGTGAAAGGAAAGCTATGAAAGAAAGTAGTGAGACTCTCTATACTGAGAAGGGCCCAAGGAGGAGTCCCCACATGAGCATAAAATAAGAGACATATTTTGCTCAAACTACTGGCCTGCAAATCACAAGAGTTAGTCTGATTATTGTTTGTTGTTAATCCATATATGTGACAACACTGAGAAAGTGTTTTCCTTTTGGATTTATAAAATAGAAGTGTTGTTTAAAACAAGTCCTTTGAGGGAAGTGTTGGAGTATTTGATTTTAAACAATCTTGTAGAGCATTTGGAGGTAAATACAAGTGATTTACCACTTACAGAAATATTTTTTAAAGCACTTATTTGGACTGAACCAATGTGTCCAGCATAGTGATATATAGTTAATTAGAAAAGCAGCATCGAGGCAAATCGCCTTTTAAATGGTCTCTTAATGCTCAAAGGGGATTAGTATTATCTGGCTGCCGAGGGCCATGTATTTCCTCACTTCTTAGGAAACTTGTCAAAAACCCTGTAAATAATGGTAGGCATTTTTAGCCTAGCAAATTCGGATACATATCCAAGAGACAGGGTGAGTTCTAGGATCTGGTGGTATTTTCTCTATCTGCTGATCAGGTTCATCAGATCCCTGACCAGGAGCTGAGGGGAGAGTTTGGCCATTGACAACACACATACTCACTCCCTGGCCACCTCTTGCTTGCCTGGTAGTATTGACAATTTCTCCAAGAGTGTCATCTTATGTAACTCTGCTATATAAAATCCATAAGAAGCCATGAAAGTGAAATTCACTAATGATTTTTAAAATATCTTAAATCTTTCAAGTTAAAAGAGCCAAGTAATGTTCTAACCTGCTTTTGAGATGGTTCTCCTTGGCATGAGGAGACAAGTAGAAACTCAGGTACAGTTAACAATTAACAGTCAAGTTCCACGTAAGTTTTCCCAATGAAGAAATACTAAAAGATCTACAGAAAATTTGACTTTGATTTATTATTATTATTTTTAATAAAAAAGTGTTTCTTAAAAGGCTTGAAACATTAAAACTGTTCACATGAATTTAAAAATAACAATTATGAATGCATAACAAAATAGCCAAACCAAACATCGCTTGAATTGCTGCACAAATAACTCTGCTTCTGTTATGACCTAGAAAAGAATCATAAAAACATTTTTCTTTGTGGCAAGATCTGAGTTACTGTAGAATTATACCAGTTCTTTGGTCCCACTTTCCAAATAAATAAATAAATATACAATGCAATGTAAACTTAGAATCTTTTATTTATTCATGAGGTTGAATTTAATACTATGATGATTTCTAGGTTTTATGAGTCATATGTTATGGCACTGTTTTTCACTAACTTAGCTGGGTAGCGAGCACACTTCACAAATCATGCTTTCCTTCTTTACTCTTTCACTTGGGGTGTAACGTAGTAATCCTTCTCATGGAAAGCACTATTATTTCTCAGATGCTGGAGTAATGGGAAAGGAGGCAATTGTGTTAATGTCAAATGATTAGAAGAAGCACCAGAAGAAGGGGAAGGGAGGGGGGGGAGGGGAGAGACGATTTCAAAACATGATTGTGTTTTAAGCCCATGCATATGGCCACAATTACAGTCACAACATAATTTGGCAACGGGAGCAGAATTAGATTTAAACAAATTGATGTTACACTGCAGTAATTCAGAATGAGCTTGTTGCATTTATAAACCATAACAAGAAGCAGAGTGAATTAATAAAGCCTCTTGTCACTAAAAATAAAAAAGGGAATAATTGCTGAGATGGAGTTAACTTAACAGATGACTCTAGTCAGCATCCTCTCAGCCTAGCTGTGGGAAAAGTGAAGGTCACCCCCCAGCCATCTCAAATGACAAAGAGGGAACATTGTGTTGGTAAACAAATTAATCTTTTGAAAGGTCGCCATTTGTTTTAAGTTTTTATCCAGTCCTTGTCATCTGGAATCAGAGATTGACTGTCATCTCACCAGGCAGGGGTGCAGCGGAGGCAGACAAAGCTGCTTCTGTACATATCAGCATTCCTTGACAAAACTCAGGGCCTGATTGGGATGCTATGGGCTGCTGGTTTACAGCTGTCTCCGGACAGGAACAGAGGCCCACCCTTGAATTCCAATAAGATAGGCCTGCATATTTCGCCTGCTGTAAGCTGGCCCTCTGCCCACAAGTAAAATGTATTGTAGTTCAAGCCAGCAATTATCTCTGTTACTTCCTTCTGTGCTGCTTCTGTTCCCTTTTTCCAAAAACAGATGTGGGTATTCACCCAAGTTTTGTGTCTATTCTTTCCCACACCTGCCAGGGCAGGATTTTGACAGAGGTAGAGTTGGAGGGAGGCAGCAGACAACGATCAGATGTAATTTCCTTGAGAGCTGTTTCAAAAGAAAATGTTGATTTTTTTTTCTTTCAGGAAATGTGGAGTCAGCATCTTGATTCCCTCCCCCTTTCCCCAGGAGCATTTGGTAAATTAAATTAGTTGAACAAAAGGAAATAGCTTTAAAGACATTCTGAAATGCCACATCCTATTTATGACACACAGTCATTACCCAAGGTCTGAGATGGCTTCCCTTCATCTATCCATCCTAGTCAGCCTTCTCCTCTGGTTTCATACGGGGAGTCTTTGAAAGCACAATGGCTCTTCAGAACTTTCCAGATTCATGGCCTCTAAAATGTATTTCAACATGGTAGCCGGGTGGTGATTGGTGGCGTGGTGTATTGCTCTTGTATGTTGTGGCCAAAGAAAGGGACTTGACATCGGCCAATGTACGGCCCCCTGCTCTGAGATTGAGAAGAAATTGAAAGCATCTTTTCATTAAGTAATATTCATCATCTACTTGTCACCAGGCACCAGTGGCTCACACTTGTAATCCTTGCTACTCAGGAGGCTGAGCTCTGAGGGTCATGGTTCAAAGCCAGAAAAGCTCATGAGACTCTGATCTCCATTTAGCCAGTAAAAAGCCAGAATGGGTCTATGGTATAAGTGATAGAATGCCGGTCTTGAGGAAAAAAGCTGGTCCTGAGTTCAAGCCCCAGCAATGACCTCTGCCCTCCTCTGCCTGCCCCTGCCCCCATCTCAATCTAGCTGCAATGTGTTCTATAACTTCTCTCAAACATAATGGCTCTTGAGCTTTTGTGCTAAAATCCCACGTACATTCCTAAAGCAACCCTCTGCTGAATTTGAAGCACTTTTCTGCACTCGGTATGGTGATGTT